TGCAGGCCAATGTAGAACATGCTCTTCTTACCAACGTACCTACGATATGAACGTCAGAGGTGGCAGGCTATCACGCGCGGTACGCGTGTCAGTATGTCTGGTAAAACGAGACTGGTGAATACTGGGATGTGTACGAATTCAAGCCATGCGACAACAAATTCTCAAGTTAAACTGCTGCGCAACTCCGCTACATCGGAAGAAACTTACCTCTCGCAGAAATATCCCCAGTTTCCCCGACAGTCCCATGGGGCCTTGCTTTTCTCCTGCGCTGTCGAAGTTCAAGAAACGGACAATGCGCAAATCCGCAATATGCAGCCGGATCTGAAATACAGAAGCATACGAAATAGAGGTGAGGCGCTCCTGTGGGGGTCAGCCACGATGTCGGTAACAACAGTCAAAAATATTGCGTACACCAGTCCAGCATATCGTGCGAAGGAAAGACCACAGGATCACATTCCTCGGGCTGGCTGCTTATTCCACCCACTGCTTCAGTTAGAGAAAATGGCTTACCAGGAAAGCAGTGAGCTTTGCCAGGTTAAGGAGTCGTCTTACGGAGAATCCGTGGGCAGCCGAAGCCTGGGCAGCAAGTCCCCTCTGTACGGTGCGGCGGTACCGAGCCGCTCCTTTTTCGCAGACAAGGAAACACTTGCATACAGCGTTATTCCCATTTTGGGCCGCTTGGCAAACGCAAATGCCACAGAGGCGAGATAGCACCATCCCGTAAAACTGGTTATAAAACTTTTCTTGCAAGCAGCACTGCATCGCGACAGCAACAGTCTGAGTTATCTGAAGAATAAACAGAACACGCAAGCCTGACCAACCATGCAGAATGGACCTTGAAGTTGTTGCAACTCTGATGCTGCCTTGAAGGCTTCCGGTTTGCTTTGGAACGAAGAGCAACGTTGTCCATCCGATCACTTTCAGTGGAAAGTGATCGGTCCATCCGATCACTTCCTGTGGAAAGCAGTAGGTTATCCTTTATGCTGCACTCACTGCGCATTGCACTGGTTAGGTGGAAGCTCACTTACAATGGCTTTTTTCAATGACAGATGGCCGGAGTTCTGTAACTGTTGAAGGGCATGATCTGGACTGTTGGCTGTTACAAAACACTCGAACAGGCTCTGCTGCAGCTCCGTGTTAAACCTGCGTGCACGCGCGATTAGTGAAACGTGAGATGACGCTGAAATTGCAAGGTACACTTGACCACCCCACAGGAGGGGATTTTTCCAGTGCTCACCGGCCGCCAGGGCACCGCAAGTTTAGCTCACAACTACAATTTGCATTGGAGCACCTTCTACTAGTTCCATACCTCAGAAGTGCTGCCTGTTGCCGG